CTAGATGGCTCTTGTGTTATGTCCTTGCTGGTGTTCTGGTCATTTTAGCCTAATTGTGGCTCTCTAGTTTCCTGTAGATTTAGTGAGTTTCATACTTACCCAGCAAAGTCTCTTTTTGCTTATAATGGCAAGAGTAAGAATGTGGGTGTCTGATACGTTATTACTAGTCACATAGAGCTATTTAAATCAAACTTTAATTAAAATTTTTAAAAAGTAAAAATTTAGTTCTTCAGTGGCACTCTATGAAATGTATGATCACCATATGTAGCTAGCTAGTGGCTATCATATTTCAGTGGTACAAATTATAGAACATGTCCAAATCATTAAAAAAATATCAAATAGTGCCATTGGACTGTAATTCTTTAAGGGTAGGCATTCAGTTTTTGTTTTTCTCTGGTATATGTGTAACACTTAGGACTAGGCTTAGCATTTGTAAATAGTAAATATTTGTTGAATGTTGAAATGACATGCATGAGCTGTGTGCCACAGAAAACCTAGGCAATAATCATAATTAGCTGCCTATACTTTGAAGAGAACTTGGAATGACTCCATCTCACTGTTACTCCTGTGGTTTCTGTTTAAACTTTTCTATAGCTCCATTCTATGTTGTATCTTGGACCTCTGGTCTACAATTTAAAAATACAAAGTACTTGATCTCATAGTTTCTCATTTGGCAGCTTATTCATCCTTCACCTCTTGATTTCTCCTCACCGCTAACCCATTAAACCTGTCTTTTCAGCAGTTGTTGCTGTAGTCTCCGAAATCTCTATTCCGTTATTGATCATTTTTTTTCCCATCTCTACATTTTTTAAAAATACACCCTCACTGAACCCTGACTGTTCTGGCAACCCTTTTAATTGGAATTATTGTTCCTTTCTCTCTCCTGCAACTAGGGACCAAGAAGGAAATCTGTTTGTGAACCCCACTTTTGCTTCTCTACAGTCATTTGACTAACTTGGGTTAAAATGGTTTTGCTTTTGCTATTCATTGTATCTATCTTATTCCTAATTCCTTCTCTGTCAATGACTAACCTACAACATGTTCCCTGACAGTCGCTGAAGACCTTAACTTCTGGCTCAATTTGTTTTTATTTTCTATCCTTTGTCATTGTTCTTTGTGACTACACCATTCATATTGTTGACCCATCTAACACCTTAGCCTTACAGTTTATCCTCTCTCGGTATTATTTATCTTCATTCTACTTTAGCAGCCCCTACATTTAGCCATATCTTGGACTTTGTCATCCCTTAGAATTGAGCACTTCAAAGACATATTTTTTTTCTCTTATCCACTTCAGTTTCACTGAAGACACTGAAACTTGATACTCAAATTGGTATTGATACTAGTTCTTATACTTTTTTTCTTCTTCTAGTCTGTTAGCCTGGCTCCCTTGGTTCCCATTCAACTTGGAATCTATTTGTCCATTATTCGACATGCTCTCAATTGTATCTGAGCAAAAGTTCCTGCATGTAAATTCTTTCAACTTCTCACTGAGAATTTCTATATCCTCATCCATTCTCTCCTCCTTTTCTATTTTAATGAAGATATTCATTCTCCCTTTACTTCTCAAGAGTTCTGAATCCCATCTCTTTTGTTTCCTCTAGAGTCTTGCTTCATTATCTTTTTCTTTATCTGTGTCTAATTTCTTTACCTCAGACTCTTACTTTACCTTCAAGGTCTAGCTCAAATGACATTTCTCTTAGGTAGCCTTTACTAATACTCCCCCTTTTTAGAGAGAGAGAGAGAGAGAGAGAGAGAGAGAGAGAGAGAGGAGTGGGGGAAAGGGACAGAATCTTAAGCAGGCTCCATGCATGGCATGGAGCCCTACATGGGGCTCAGTCTCATAACCCTGAGATCATGACTTGAGCTGAAATCGAGAGTCGGAGGCTTAACCAATTGAGCTACCCAGACACCCCTGCCTTTACTGATATCCTAATGAAAGTTAATTGCACTTTCTTCTGTACTTTTTAGTTCTACGTTAAGACTTGTTTTGTTTTGATTTGTTGTGACATACCTTAAATATTCAAAACCTTCTCATCAAAAGATACTTTATTCCTAAGTGTAGCATTGCCTTTTGAAATAATTTGTTCTAAACTCTTTTTTTTAATTTTTTTTAATTTTTATTTATTTATGATAGTCACAGAGAGATAGAGAGAGGCAGAGACATAAGCACAGGGAGAAGCAGGTTCCATGCACCGGGAGCCCGACGTGGGATTCGATCCCGGGTCTCCAGGATCGCGCCCTGGGCCAAAGGCAAGCGCCAGACCGCTGTGCCACCCAGGGATCCCATCTAAACTCTTTTGTTACTGAGATTAAGACCATTGAATTTATTCCTAAATCCTAATCAGCTCTATAAATTTTTTTTTTTAGATTTTATTTATTTATTCATGAGAGACACAGAGACAGGTAGAGACATAGGTAGAGGGAGAAGCAGGCTTCCTGCGGGGAGCCTGATGTAGGGTACAATCCCAGGACTCCGGGATTATGACCTGAGCCAAAGGCAGACGCTCAACCACTGAGCCACCCAGGCGACTCAGCTCTATTAATTTTTATTTATGTTAAATTCCATATCTCTTACAATCCTAACTGTAATGATCTCATATCATGGACTAATTTTATTTTTAAAAAACTCATATTAGTTGTAGATTCTGACCCTACATTGCTTTGTGAACTGAAGAAAACTTTGTATGTCATCTTTTATAGTCTACCATAATTGTGTTCTTACTCCTTTCATATTTTAATGAAAATCAAACACTTTATCATTGGTTTCTTTTGCTTCAGTGTTTGTAGGGAATTATTTCCTTTCTTACCTACATCATTTATTTAGAAAGAATTGAGGCCACATTGTTTTCTTAACAGGATCTTGTTTCTTACTGACTTACCAGGTATATCCAAAGTCCTGGCCAGAGCTAAGATTTACTTGGGGCCTAACTTTCTAGCTCTGGACCTAAGCTGGGACCCACAGTGTTTTCTCTGTTTCTATTGTCATGATTTTGTAGACAGAATCCTTTATTAACTCCATAATCTAAAAGCACCAAGTTAATAACATCTATAAACATTTAAGGGTGAAATGCACAGGAAGTTTGAGAGAGTATTAATGTAGCTGGAATTACAACAGTATGACTAGTACTGTTAAAGGAGTGAAGTAAGAGCAAAACTGACCCTTTCCTTCAGATCTATTGTTTCTGGCATTCATATGTAAATATCTCCAGAAGCATTGGGTCTTAATGGTTTCATCCATGTCATATCGCCCAGATTTTCAGATTTAAATGTCTAACCCAGGATTTAGGTTGGTTCATTCAGTTCATCTACAAATATTTATTGAACACTTATTAGTGTTTAAAGCGTAGCCCTAAAGCATTGTCTTCCCAATAAGCAGTGCTAATTGGGTTAATAAGACATGCTGATAGTGCCAAACTATAATAATAAATGCCAAATGGCTTGTATTTCAGATAAGTGTTTGAAGGATTTTAAAAAGGGAGTCGTCAAGAGCATATCCTATCACATACTGGTATATCCTGTTAGCTTTAAGTCTTTTTCATGTGATTAGTCATTTGGTTACCAGAGGTGCTCTACATTTTAAGGTTCTGCTTAAAAATATATCATTCCCGGGCAGCCCAGGTGGCTCAGAGGTTTAGCGCCACCTTCAGTCCAGGGCGTGATCCCAGAGACCCGGGATCAAGTCTCGCATCGGGATCAAGTCTCGCTCGCATCGGGCTCCCTGCATGGAGCCTGCTTCTCTTCTCCCTCTGCCTGTGTCTCTGCCTCTCCCTCTCTCTCCCTCTCTCCCTCTCTCTCCCTCTCTCTCCTCTCTCTCCTCTCTCCCCTCTCTCTCCTCCTCTCTCTCTCTCTCTCTCTCTCCTCTCTCCCTCTCTCTCCTCCCTCCTCTCTCTCTCTCTGTATGTGTCTCTATGAATAAATAAGTAAATCTTTAGAAAAAAAATCATTCCTTTTGAAAAGGACACCCATTGTGTAAATATCTTAGGGATGAAAGCTCATCATGTGTTTTATAGAATACACTATGATGTCTTATACTAGATAATTTTCTTAAAAATTTTAAACTTAAAATCCGTAAAATTGCTGCATGTTGAAGTGGGAGAGGAACACTTACTTGGATTAGAAGACCTGAGTCCTGTCTTCATTTGGCTGGTTGGTAGCTAATATGATTTGGGCCTGAGCCTTAATCTCTTTATCAGTAAAATTGAAATGACTTTGCTTACTTTCATAGAATTATTGTGAGAAATTACTACAGTAAAAAATGGCCAGCCTTGGGGCGACTGAATGACTCAGTCAGTTAAGCATCTGTCTTTGGCTCAGGTCATGATCTAAGGGTTCTGGGATCTAGCCCTGTGTTGGGCTGCATGCTCAGCGTGGAGTCTGCTTCTCCTTCTCCCTTTGTGCATGTGTGCTCTCTCTCTCTCTTGCTGTTCTCTCTCAAATAAAATTTAAAAAGAAAAGACCAGCCATAATTAAATACCTATTTTACTATAGATGTCCAAGTAGGCATTAAAGATACATTGAAAAGCTCCATAATCTGATAGGAAACAAGTGAGATAACTATGTCTGAAAGCTGTGAAATATTATATGGTGATAAAGATGGCTTCTCCCACACTAGACGACTTTCTAATGCCTTAACAACACATTGTGCACTCTTTACCAAAGGCCATCTGTTCAGGTTGTTCTCTATGTTTATCAAAATTCTACTCGTCAAATTTATATCTCCATGTAACCAGTCTCTTGTCTTCTTAGACATACTTGGTTTCTCATCTTCCCTTTGCCAGTAGTTTGTAGATTTTTCCATAGCAAAGCAGAAATTTGTTACATCTTGGTTATTTGTGAGCACACTTAGCTGCCTGAAGTCAAAATCTTTATCATTTTATCTGCCACTTAGCAAGCACAATGCCTGGTGTCAATATGGGTACTCTAAAATGATTATCTAATTCATTGAAATATATGAATTATGGTTTCTTAATAATGTTTTTTGTTGGTGTGATATTTAGGTTAAAACTTCAACAACAAATGGTGAATATTGAAAATGCAGAGAAAGAAAAAAATGAAAATTCTGACCTGAAACAGGTATGATTTTAGCAAACATTTTGCTTTTATTTCTTTAAGTGCTTCTTTAAATCTGTATTTTGAATGTATGTGGTTTTTTTTAATTGAAGTATAATTAACATACAGTGTTATATTAGTTTGAGGTATACAATATGATCTTTGAGCAATTTTATACATTATTCAGTGTTCATCATGGTAAGTATATATTCATTTTTTTTTCCATCACAGTAACTGTACTCTTAATCCTCTTTATCTGTTTCACCCATCTGCCCTCTGGCAACCACCAGTTTGTTCTTTGTGTAGAAGGGTCTGATTTTTTTGTGTCTTTTTTTCTTTGTTTTGTTTTGTTTCTTAAATTCCACATATGAGCGAAATCATATGGTATTTGTGTGACTTATTTCACTTAGCATTATACCCCATAGGTACATCTATGTTATTGCAAATGGCAAGGTTTTATTCTTTTTTATGGCTAGTAATATTCCTGTGTGTGTGTGTGTGTGTGTGTGTATGACATGTTTTTTTATCAATCTGTGGATGGACACTTAGGGTGCTTATGTGTGTGTGTTGAATCTATTTCATGTACTGGTATTCTGAAAATATAATCATTACAACTGATAATGTATTGATGAAGTTGATAAATATAAAATATGTTTAAACCTCCTAAAGCTCTAGTTAGTAAGCTGCTTTTCTTAACCACTGTTTTTTCTTAATGTTTTTTTTTTTTTTTTTTAAATTTTTTTATTTATTTACGATAGTCATACAGAGAGAGAGAGAGAGAGAGGCAGAGACACAGGCAGAGGGAGAAGCAGGCTCCATGCACCGGGAGCCCGACGTGGGATTCGATCCCGGGTCTCCAGGATCGCGCCCCGGGCCAAAGGCAGGCGCCAAACCGCTGCGCCACCCAGGGATCCCTTCTTAATGTTTTTATATGCTCTGTCCCAGAGTGAATTTTTTTAAATTGTAAAGAACAATATTTTAATATTCTGATTTTAAAAATTGATTAGAAATAAAATCTAAGTTTTAAGTTTCCTGTGGGATTGACTTGTAACTTTTTATTTCTTATTCCATGAGTTGCATCTTATTATATCCCTGTTAAATGTGAAATCTAAAAGCTATATTTAAGGAAGGAAATTTATATTTTAATTAAAGTTATTTGGGTTTAAGAAAAATGTATATGGGCAAAACATGGAAGAGTGTTCTTTCCTGGATTCTATTTTCTTTTTAAAGTTATGAAGTAGTGAAGATTCCATTTTTAGGATTTATGCTTGCAAGCTAGCTGGCATTGCTCTGCATAAGCAGTTGTGGTTTCTAAGTCTTGACTAGGAGGACATAATGCCTGATACTCTTGAAAGAAATTATTTTTTTTAAGATTTTATTTATTTATTCAGGAGAAACGCAGAGAGAGAGAGAGAGGCAGAGACATAGGCAGAGGGAGAAGCAATCTCCCCAGGACCCTTGGGATCATGACCTGAGCTGAAGGCAGACGCTCAACCACTGAGCCACCCAGGCATCCCTGAGAGAAGTTATTTAGTACCATTGGTATTGGGCTTTCTGTCATTTATTAGATAACAAGCGGTATTATGCTCTTTGAAAGTTGCTTGTTCAGTCAGCTGTAATACAGATTTAATATTTACAACTCCAGTTAAAAATAAAGATGAATAATTTTTCATGGGGAAATTTGTTCTAGAGTATAAATCTGAGACATATCATTTTACTTTATTCTGACAATTGCTCTTTGAACATATACAGTCCTATCTTACTTGGCTTTGCTACCACCAGGAAGTGCTGTGATTATTTTGCATTTATTTAACTTCTTGTGTAAAGAATCTGGTTTCTTTCAGCTCTTGAGTCTCATAATGGGTTCTTTTGATCCTGAGTCTCTTGATTCTCTGCTTCCAACTTCTCTCAGAGAAAGGCTTAAGAGGTAGGAGAAGATGGAAAAAAACCGAGTATTTGTTAATTACTTGGTAAAATAGCTTATGGAGGAAATAGGTAAACTGTGTTCCAAATGAAAATTATTTGGATGTAACTTAAAAGCCTGTTAATTTGTAACTAGATAATTAGCTACTTTTCATGAGAAAAAGTGCTCACAGATAAAAGTACATTAAGATGGAAAGAAAAGGGATCCCTGGGTGGCGCAGTGGTTTGGCGCCTGCCTTTGGCCCGGGGCGCGATCCTGGAGACCCAGGATCGAATCCCATGTCGGGCTCCCGGTGCATGGAGCCTGCTTCTCCCTCTGCCTGTGTCTCTGCCTCTCTCTCTCTCTCTCTCTCTCTGTGTGACTATCATAAATAAATAAAAAATTAAAAAAAAAAAGATGGAAAGAAAAACCTGAGTGACATTGCTGGTTTGATAAATGCCTTTAGATGGCAAGGAATCCTTGCCATTAATCAAGTTTCTTAGAATACCTTCCTTCTGCCCAACACTGGATGTGTGGTGGAATGCTTAGAAACCACTTGAAAACAATGTCTGAACAATCCTTTCTGTATTTATGACTCCCAGTGATTTAGAAAGAACTCATGGAAGGGTTGCTGATCATAGGGCACATGGGAGTGGAAGAACAGATTTCTGTAGCAGCTCTCCCAGCTGATGTGCTTTTAAAAACCTGTTTTTTCCTAGGAGGCTAGAGGAAGTCCAATGGAGAATCTCTCTAATGGTTGGATTCTCCTTTTTCCTCTACTTTCCTTCTTTTAACCCCTTTCTCCACTCCTAGTATTTGGGGAATAAGAGGGGAGAGAACTTAGTGGCAGACTAAGGAATCTTGATTGTCTCTGGTCACATTAAGAAATGATCCTATACTACTGGATCCTGATGCTATTGCTATTTATTATTTAATTTCAGAGCATCCTCAAAGACACTTCATTTGGGCCAGGCATTTGTAAAGGAAGGTGTTTACTGTTCTCTGCTTCTCTCACACACTATTACATATGTGGCCTTCATGTTTCTCTTCTTTCTTTTCTTTTAAGCAAATCAGTAGTTTGCAGATCCAAGTGACTTCACTTGCACAGTCAGAGAATGAGTTGCTGAATTCGAACCAAATACTGAAGGAAATGGTGGAGAGGTTAAAACAAGAATGCCGAAATTTCAGAAGCCAAGCTGAAAAAGCACAAGTAGAAGTTGAAAGGTAGAGAGAGTTTGCTCTTTTTTATGTACAAACTATTTCTTCTTTCTGCTATATTATATGTAGTCCTTTTAGTGACGATTCCAATGTTGATTATGTTTTGGGACCTGGTTAAAATACGCTTTGACAGTGTACAATGGTTATTAGGTAATGTACTTTCTAGAGAATGAGCTTTATGAACTCTTGAAATTTTTTTTTAAGGCATTTAGGACAGAAGACTAAAAAAAATTTTTTTTAAGATTTTATTTATTTATTCATGAGACACACACACACACACACACACACTCACACACACACACAGAAGCAGAGACACAGGCAGAGGGAGAAGCAGGCTCCATGCAGGGAGCCTGACGTAGGACCCGATCCTGGGTCTCTGGGATCAGGCCCTGGGCCGAAGGCGGTGCTAAACCGCTGAACCACCCAGGGACAGAAGACTTTTAAAAATTCTGCCTAACCACAGTATTCTGAAAATCCTCAGAGAAACACTTCTTTATTCACTGAATAAACAAATACGTTAATATATTTTTTACTTCAGATATCTAATTATTCTTCTGAATGCCAGAGAATCAGAAAAAAAAATTTTGTGACTTGGAAAACTTCCTAAAATTAGAACTATAATCTCTTGGATTGTTCCTTTGAGAAGTTCATTTATTTGTTTAGTTTTTGGTCTTGAAATTTGTTAGTAATAAACCGTGTATAGTAAACTGGCAAGGAGATGATTTAGGTGATGTTCAAGATCTTACATTCTCTGGAAAATTTTGTTTAGATATGATAGAAAACTATTTTGTATATGGTATATCTTTATAACATGTTAGTATTCTATTTTTGTTTGAATCTACAAAACATTTTTCGGATTTTCTCTTTCTGAAGGCTCCTTTGCCACATAAAACTTTTTTCCTTCAGTTTCTCATTATTTCGTGTTTAAAGGCTTTCCATGGTTTCACACATGTGAATTACAAGAAAGTAAGCAAGGTATTTTCCATAATGCGTTATGACATTCCACAGGGTCCAAATTATTTTGCTTATATTTTGCAAAAAAATAGAAATTTATATCTTGGAATCGTCTCAAGTGTTTGATTAAAATGCGGTTAAGAATTCTAATGACAGTATAGGTAGCAAATTTGTGTAATTGATCATTGGTTTCTGAATGTTACTCATAGGATTATATAGTAGAAAATAGTTCGATGAAGTGTCAGTCATATGATTTTGGTCCCAGCTAAAACATTTAAAAGCCTGTATGACCTTAGATGTGTAATCTGACATTTTAGGGTTTATAAATCTCATTTGTACTGCCTATCTATAGTAATGATACTAAAAATTATGGAAGGTGTGCAGAAGAACTTTAAAGATATATAAGTTGTATGTTATCTTAAAATATTGTTTATATGAATTTTACTCTAGTCAGAAAACATCTTGCATTAAGACTTACCTGGGTTGATTTTTAACCAGCTTTATTAGACCCAGTTTTGTTTTTTTAATGTTTCAAGCTTTTTTAAAAAAATTCTAGTTAGTTAACATACAATATTAGTTTCAGAAGTAGAATTTAGTGATTCATCACATACGTATAACACCCAGTGCTCATCATAATATCCCTCCTTAATACCTATTACCCTCGCTAGAGCCAGTTTTTTTTTTTTTTTTTTTTTTTTTTTGCTAGAGCCAGTTTTTATCGCTTGATGGTTAGAATGGTTCATAGCTGGTTATTTATCCTGCTGTTAAGTAGGTGTCAGTCTTCTTTTGTTTTTTTAATAATTATTCACTTGAGAGAGCAGGAGCAGGCTGGGTGGGAGTGGGCAGAGAAAAAGGGAGATGCCAACTCCCTGCTGAGCAGGGAACCAGATGCTGTTCCATCCCAGGACTCTGGGGATCATGACCTGAGCCAAAGGTGGACACTTAACTGACTGAGCCACCCACGTGCCTCCTAGGTGTGAGTCTTTAAGCAAATTCATTAACTACGTTCTAGGCCTCAGTTTGTTTATCTATAAAATGGAGATGATAGTAGTACCTAAATCAAGGGGTTATTGTGAAGAATAAATGGCATAGGACAAAGGGTTCTAAGCACAGTGCTTGGTTCATAAGAAGTACTCAGTAATGAGAGAATTAGTAAATATGTGGCCATGCAAGAGTTCCCGCAGTTGGGTACCTAACAGTATGGTGAAGCAGGTAATGAGCTTGATTATACTTGGGATAATATTTATTTAATCCTAAGAGTTAACTTCCATGTTCTATATACATTCTTTTGACAGGACTTTGGAAGAGAAACAGATACAGTGGTTGGAAGAAAAGCATAAGCTTCAGGAACGTATCACTGACAGAGAAGAAAAGTATAATCAAGCTAAAGAAAAACTACAGCGAGCTGCAATTGCTCAGAAAAAGGCAAGTGATTCTTATTAAAATGATTTTGATAGAGTAAAACATAATTATTCTGGGAGAATAAAATGTAATTAAAACTGAGATTCTAGTGTATGTTTAATTTGATATTTAAACATGACATTTTGCTGTCAACCTTGCAGAGCTAAATTGGGAAAATGCAAACTGCTCAACAGGTTTATTTCTAAATTTCATGTTCAAGTTGGTTTTTCAGAGCTGACATACATTTTCCCACAGAATTTTTTCATTGATAAAGTTTCTAGACCAGCCCATGTAAGTCTTATTTAACTCATTTCTGCAATTAAATTATAGGGTGATTTGGTCTGTTTCAACTATGCTTAACCAATAAACTTGTAATATCATTTTTGTGTTTAACATACTTTTTTGTTTCCAACTCAGGAATGTAGGAGCAGTGTCTCCTTGCCCCAGGAGGAGAAACTAAGCCTTCTCCTGGCTTCTGAAACAGCATGATAGTTACCACAGCTATGATCTTTTCCAAGTTTTGCAATTGCAGGCATATATTTACTCCATAATCTAAAAACTTTGTTTTCTTGGAAATAGTTCAGGGCATCATAGAAATAATGTAATCAGATGATTTCATCTAGGTCAGTGGTTTGCAACTTTTTTTCTACTGCACAATCCCAAGGAATGTAGCATGGTCCCATCCATAACCATGACTCATGGTGCAGTGATTCAGCACTTAGTTTCAACAAGATTTGGTGCATGTGTGTGGAGATGGAGGTTGGGCGGATGGCATTAAAAAATCCCATAAATGGTTTAATATGTTCCTATTTGTAAGTTCCATTAGTAAGGGCATTTGTTTTAGGGAGGCGAGAGGGTCTGAGATGAGAGGAAGGTACTTCTAGGCATAGGCACACCAGTCTCTTAGTGTTTCTGTTTATTGGAAAGGTTAGCCTTTCATATTTGCATAAGAGAAGAGAACTATATATCATTTAGGTATTCCAAAGACTCTGTTCCTAGTCACCTATTTATGGTTATTGGATATAACTACCAAATGTGTCCTGAGAGTTGGAGTGACAATATGAGAAGTCTACAAGTCATTGTTTCTCCACTTTTTTTGATTTCTGAATATTGCTTTTCTCTTCCCATAATGCTGGAAGTAGTATAACATTGAGATTAGAAAACAGCATTTATTATATTAGGAATCTCAGTATTTTATACTCAAATGTAAACTTTCTTTTTTTCCCCCTGTATGTATCATTTCGTTTTCTTTCTGTCCATATAAATACTGAGTGCTGTGTGGTTATCGATGGGATTTCAGTGAAGTGTTTTATGGCTTGGGATGATCTTAGAAATTTTATTTATGGTTCCTTGTACTGTTTGAAGCCTAGAAGCATCTGAAGCCAGATTTTAGCCAAAAATCACTAGAAATTATAAGAGCTGACTTTATCTTTCACAGAGAAATATTTATGTTAAGGTTTTAGAGATTAGTATTCTAAAGATCAGATAGATTCTAATTACCACTGAGGTTAGTTTGGGTTGACTTCTTCTGGAGCAAAAGTGACATCCAGTGGTGAGAGAGATTACCAACTTAATCATAGGTATACTAGAAATAAGGGAAGAACTGATAATCTAAGAACACTGACAAAATAACCTTTCATCAATATTGTGACCTGTGGTGAATTTTCTTTGCTACTGAAATAGCAAAGAAATGATGGATGTGAACATAGGAAATATCCATATCATTTTTAAAAATGTGATCTGTGAGTTATGATTTTAAGTCCTAGAAAATTGTTCAGTTCAATAAATAATTATGACTCAGGGCTATCATCATCATGTGGGACACTTCCCTAGAGGCTTACAACTTTACATTAGTTAAAGTGGGAAGATAATATATGTGACATAGAAATACTATTAAAAGTCTGTAAGTACATATAAATTTAGGGGTGGGGATTTTGGCATTCAGATAGTTTGTACAGGTTAGGGAACTGAAGTGGTAGGTAACCAAGATTATCTGACTAGTAAGATTCAATGCCATGACTCAGATTCACACTTTCTGTTCTAAATCCTGTGTTCTTTCTGTGCTGTTACTCTTTTAATTTCCCAATTTCTTTGATTCCAGATACTTAAGTGCTTTTCTCTTCATTGTACCTGTATGAGTCTTATTCCTTATGTCAGAATAATCCTCTAGAAAGTTAATTTCTTTAATTTAAACTCTTTCCCATTCAAGTTAAAGATAATGAAATAGATATGAAAATTTTGGTCATAAGGTTACATAAATATAAATCTTAAGAGTGCAATAGACTTTTTAAGTTCTTTAATAAAAATCATAACTTTCTTATTTAAAACAAGTCACAAAATACTAACTTTAGGGCAGAAATCAAAATTCTTTAGGGTTGTTTTCTTGTGAGTGATTCTTATAACTGGGATGTAGCAGCTTTGTTTTTCCCCTGAGGCTAGAAAAGATGGCTCACTGCCATCTGAGTTTGTTTATTTACAACTCCAACCTCCTATCCACAAAGCTTATGTCATTTCTGGTAAGTGTTTCTAGGTAAAGTCTTTATGTAATGATATTTTGATGTGTTGATTTGTTTGGAAAAACTTGACCAGGTATCTTGAGTTGAAATGCCTTTCTGTGATTGTTGGCTTCCCTGTATGTTTTTCTCTTATACATTGTTGAAGTGTGAGTATGAAGAGAGATCTCTTGGTTTGAGCTGAATAAGTTGTACTTTTCCTTTTGAGGCACTTGAGATGACAACTTGTTATTTTTATTTTAAGGTATATTTCTCTGAAATTATTCTTGGCTAGATTACTGTTATGAGTGTTTTTGGGGAAAAAATGAATTGTAGTCTTGAAGTTGTAAAATATCTGTTGAATATGTTGTGTGGCCTATCATTATATTATACACATAAGGAAAATAGAAGCCATGATTAATTCCTGCTTTTGATGACCATATAATCTAGTTGGAGAAATAAGATAACATGTACTATATGAAGAATACTAATGGTCACTCTCGGGTGATCTGTATGGACACTAAAGTTTGAGACCAGTGTTAGGGAGAAGAAAGCCTGAAGACCGATTAGGAAGCTATTTTAATAAAATGAGGTAAGAAGTCTGGAATTTAGGCTTGTGAAATGGGAGTGAAGGGGAAAGGTGACTCTTTAAAATTATTTTGAAGGAAAAAAGTTATAGAATATGGTGCTAAATAAGAAGAGAAAAATATGAAGTGTTTTAGTTATGAAAGGATATAAATGGAGTTGTCATGATGGAATGAAGAACACCTGTCAGGTGAGGAGTAGAAAGAGAAAGAGAAGATATATTCCACTAAACACGTGTCAGATCTGAACTGATGGCAGTTCTTCCTTGTACTCATGTCTTAGTCTCTTAAGTGAGGGTACTGTGCAAATAACTAGAAATAATGGAATGTAAAGCATAGAGATTAGTACTTCAGATTAGGATAAAGAATTAGACACTTGAGATTTTGCAAGTGTTTGAAGAATAAAAGGACTTAGAAGAATCAAAGAATTAAATTGACTTAGAAAGAGGGACTAGATTTAGTAGAGGAATGGTCATAGAGGTAAGAGCTACAGTATGGTGTTGTAGAAGCCACAGGAAAAGAATGGTATCAAAGATAAGTGGTCGTTTAGCATCATTTCTGAAAAGAGTTCACTGAATCTGGCTAGAAGGTGGTAAAAGGGGAATCCCAGATTTGGTTCTTCTATTAGTGTTCTTTCAATTTTTCTGTTACCCCTTTGTATTGTAATAATATTTTTTTTTTTATTTTTTAAAAAGATTTTATTTATTCATTCATAGAGACACAGAGACAGAGAGAGAGGGGCAGAGACACAGGCAGAGGGAGAAGCAGGCTCCTTGCAGGGAGCCTGAGCGGGACTTAACACCGAGGTACCCACTTGACAATCCTGTGATTGTATTGGACCACTGAAATCAAAATTAAAATCATTCCTTATAGCCAGTTTCCCCTCTGAATTCTCATTTCTTTTAGTAGAATGTCATTCTTCCTATCACTTAGGCTTCAAACCTTTCATTCATCCTGAGGGTTCCCTTCCCCCAGATCTAGTCACTGTATTGGTTTCTAAGAGCTGCTACAACAAATTACTGCAAACTATGTGGCTTAAAACATCAGAAAGGTATTGTTTCATAGTCCTGGAGGTCAGAAGTCCAAAATCAAATGCCTGTAGGGCCGTGCTCCCTCCAAAGGCTGGATCTGTTCCACACTTCTCTCCTAGCTTCTGGTGGTTGCTAGCACTCCTTGGTGTCCCTTGGCTGGTAGGCATATTATTTTATTCTGTCTCTTTGTCTTTATTTGGTGTTCTCCTTTTGCATCTTGTCTCTGTGTCCAGATTTCCCTCTTTTTATAAGGACACCAGTCATACTGGATTTAGGGGCTACCCTAATTTAATATAACCTCATTTTAACTTGATTTATCTGTAAAGACTCTTTTTCTGGAGAAGGTCACTCTAGAGTCTTTTACCAGCAACTAGTTTTCTAATTCTTTGGACTAGATTGTCCAACCATTTAGTTAAATTTTGATACTACATCACATTCCACAAGGTAAAGGGTTCAGTCTCAGGAGACTGCCTCTGTGTCAGATGCCAGGTCCCGGGCCACTGTACTTCTGACCAACTGGCTATGAATTGGAGATTCTCATGACTTTTTTTCTGGTCTGATACTTTGCTAGACTACTCACAGAACCCAAGAAAACAAATTACTTACATTTACTGGTTTATTACAAAGGTTACAACTCAGGAACAGCCAAATGGAAGAGATGCATAGAGCGAAGGATTGAGGGCAAGCATGGCGTTTCCATGTGCTCTCTGAGTGTGCCATCCTCCTAGCAAATCAGTGTGCTCACTAACCTGGCAACTGTGTAGGTTTCTTTGTTGAAGAGTTTTTATAGAGATTGATCTCCAATCCCCCTTCCTTCTGAGGAGTAGAGAGTTGGGGAATGCTACTGAAAATTCCCTCTCTCTTGGTCTTTCTGGTGGCCATCCCCATCTTGATGCTATTTAGGGGCCCAACCTTAA